TGCTTACTAGAGCTTTTTTTGACACTGCCAGTGTTTCAACTGCCTCCCACAGTGCTACAGTATGTTTTGATTTTTATTGCAATTCTTTTCTTAACACACCTGTCCTTCAACTATACACCGTATTATTATCTTCGTGCAGCCTACTATTCCATTACCGCTTTCCAAAAACTGAATGTCAATTGTCATCTATATATAGTACAACTTGTTTTTTTTTTTTTTTTTTTTTTATCATCATAACCTTGTTTTTACATTTGTACTTTCATTCAAAAGTTCTCTTTTAAAATTATTGTCTTCTTTTTGAGTTATTTATACTTAATAATCTATCCTAACGATATTACACTAATGTTACCCTATTAATCTTTCAATTTCTTTACTTCTTAACCTTTAGACCCGTTATCTGTTTAACTATAATCAAATGTAACATCCACTAGCTTGTTATCCACTGTTATCTTAGTATTATGTTATCTTATTCTTATTTTAACTTTACTATAACAATACTTATTCAATTCTCAATCTATTTATTCGTTAACATTCATTTTCTTTATCTGTTATCCCACAGTTATCTAATGTAATCTCTAATAGTTTGTTATACACTTATTCCTTATCTTTTATTGCAATCTGTTTACTTTTAACTTACATACTATATTCTCATTTATTTTTATTTTTATTCATACTTATTTTCCATTTGTTTGTATCTTCTACATATATAATAATTAATATTTTAACTACATTGTCACCCACTATATCTCTGATATCATCTTTTTATTTCTGTATCTGACAACTTCTCCTTATTTTATATCTACTTATATTTATTTTTTATTTTCAACATGTTTTGTATCTTTTGTAGCCCTGAAGACGACCTGCAAAGTGGGTCGAAACGTCGGCAAAAATTAAATAATTAGTATATTTTAATTTAGTATCTATTTGACCACACCCCCCAGATTAACTCCTTCTCATATTATATCAACGGTCAACCATCTACATCATTTCGAAGTAAAAAATAGTTTTGAAAAAATGGAACAAAATGTCGAAACAATTATAGCAGAAATAAAAAATGGAAACAGTAGTAGGGCCAAACAAAGAGAAGAAATATTTGAAAAGTGTACCGCTAATAAGAACCAAAAATATGATACTGACATAAAAGATTTAAAACAAAATCTCAATGAAGAGATAATATGCGTGGAAAATAATTTCTCTTAGATAATTTAGATAGATTATAATTTCTATTAGATAATAAAGAAAAGATATTAATAAATCAAATAAATGTATGTCAAGCAGAAAATGGTAAAATAAAGGGCAAACTTGAAAATATTGAACAAAGGCAGTAAGAGGAAATATATCAATTACGGAGGAAAATAATTAATGAAAAAATAAGAATCCTTTGCACCAATCCTGTTTTAAAAAGCATAAATATAACTAAAATAGAGAAGCTTGAATTTCAAGATTTCAAGAATAGTGACCCATTTTTAATTATTTCAAAAATAAAAAATAATATAGCTAATATAAAAAAGTGGAAACATGTTAATATTATTAAAATCTTTACATCCATAAGAGACTCTGTACAGCATAAAAAATTTTGGTTAGTAAATTGCCACAAACTGAACTACTCTTAACACAACTATAGGTATAATACTGAAGCCAGAATTATTTGGTGTCAGTCCATTGAAATTCTGGGATTTATTTTTCGGTTTTGATACAGGAGGGATAAACGTAGAACCGGATGATATAGATGAGTTATTGGTTCTATTATTAAGGATTCCTCAGGCTGGCTTCATGAATTTTTGACTGAATTTTTTGATATGAATTTGATACACTATAATACCTTAATCTTCATACATTAAAACAAAGGATTTTTATTTTAATTCTACACACACACACACACACACACGCACACCTCTCTCTCTCTCTCTCTCTCTCTCTCTCTCTCTCTCTCTCTCTCTCTCTCTCTCTCTCTCTCTATCCCCCCCTCCCCCTCCCCTTGTTTTTTGCCTGAATTTTCGGGGTAGTTGGACTATTTTGCCCGCTTGAAGGAAAAGGAAGTCTTCGACATTGGTGGCTCAATCTTGAGATTTGGTGAATAATTAATGATGATGTGGCTTGTCGATTAAAAAAACCATCCATAAATAATATAAACTTCTCCTCTCTTGATCATAGAGGCCTCAAGTTGAGGAAATGAGACATGTATTCGATAACAGTACTACAATTAATGTAATGTTGTGTGGATGCTAACCCTATGCCTTGCGTTATCTCGAAAATAGTACGTTTTGGGGCTTAAAAACGCAGGATCCAATAGTTCCGGAGGAACTATCCGAGTCTTGCTGTACGCATCAAAATCTTCAAGGTCCAATTTTTCCTGTATCGATCTACAGATCTACCACCGTTCCAGTATTGAAGCCTAGCAAAATGTTTGTATCGACTTTATTTATTTTAGAAAGAAAAACAAAAGTGGAGAATACGATTCGCTAACTCCCCGTGAAATTCTGAATCCAACGGTACTCCATTTATGATATTTGAGCATGACAGGAGTTTATATTTGGTACAAAACCAATTTCAAGCCTCACTGTAATAATATATGTGGGGAAGATACAACTAGATAACCATAAGTAGGTCTATTAGGACATACTGAGTAGAGCTTTGAGAATTCATTAAACCATCAAATTCCTCCTGTATAGCCAATCCTGTAATCCAAATTTTTCAATGCTCCTAATGATATCACAAAGAAAATCATCTATTATCAACCAAGCAAATTAACTTATTGTGTATTTTAAAATTCCATATTAAATCACAATAAATGAATGAAACAAAAATTGAAAACTACTTGTTGATGGGAGTTCTAAAGTATTATTTTAAAGAAATTTCATCATTAACCATAGAATTATTTAGGCTAGGTCTGTCAGTACATGTAATCCAATTTCTCGATCTTTCTTAGATCGTTAAACAACTTCAAGACAGTTTTATGAACGGTATCCGTCAGAAGTACTCTTTAAAATGATAATATAAATAAACTCTGTTGTAAAACTGCAGCGAAGTAGGAAACAGTCATATTATTAAAGAGAAGACAGTTAATCCTGACATCATACCTGTTTGTAAGCAGAGAGAAGAATGCTAGTGATGTTCACAATTAGATTGTAGCAGGTATTATTTCACTGATTGTAATCTCAATAAAGTAGGGGGAGAGTCTAAAATTGAGTAAATTTATTTAATAAAATGTTATTTGCTACTTTTCCAGAATATAATTCTACAGAGTCAAGGAAAGAAAAATGAATTTCAAGTGCTCATTGGCAGCATGTAAGAATATTTACCGGCCCAAAATGCTGTAACCTACAGGATAAAGGCTTTGAGAATCTTAACACTCTCATAAGTGGGTTCATTCTCCATTTAAAAAAATAATCATATGTGTTAAGAGAAAAACAGTTCTGTATACAAATATAAACTCAAATTGAGACTTCTCACAAAGGCTTTCCAATTTTTATATTTTTTCCATCATTTTTTGGACTCAAATTAAAAAAATCTTCAATATACCCTTTAAAAAATTCAAAAAATCTAATTTAATACAACCTTTAACAAATGATTTGCTTAGGTATCACTCCAATTCTTTTTTAGTTGATTATTCATTGTTGCTTAATTTCACTTTGATGAATACCGCCTAGCATATCAGCCTTTCAGTTGACAGAATGGCTAACTCCAATTTTAACCTTTTTTCATCAAATTAGTATCAATTGTATTTCTGTCTCTTCTTTAGAAAATTGACTAATTTTTTTCTCTTTAAAATATGACAGAAATATGTGCCATCAATTATCAATTACTAATATTTCTGGAATGATTTTGAAAAAGTAAGATATTATAAACAAACAACACTACAACCATTTTACTGGAAAATGTTGAAAGAGGAGTTCATCATTCTGTCCACTGAATGGCTCATATATTATAAATGCATTCTGCCAATGTAATTATATAAAATCTAGTTCAAAATAATTGTTTGATTAAGTATTATTTTATAGATTTAAAAAAAATATTAAAATTAGACAAAACTTATTATAATTTGCAACTTATTTGCTTAATCTACATTTATACACAGGACTGTAGACCCATCAAGCACTCTTAATCATTCTTTCATTAAAGATCTTCAAGAGGCAATGAAAATACTCTTCAATGAAGTGAAAGATTCATATCTTTAGAAATAATGTTTATTCATATAAACATAAGAAATAAAGATGAGAGTGAGTTCTTCTGAGTGACAACTTCTTCTGAACTGGATATGAAAAGTCTTCAGCAACAACAGCAAAGTGTGTGCAACGGACTGAGAATTAAAATCAGTTTGGACAATATGCACCATTGGGAGCAGTTCTGATATCAACACGATATTACAGAGGTATCATTTTCATCTTCACTGTGGTACAGGTTATTAAACAGTGCTTGCGCAAACAAGTGGTAAGGAAGAGGAGAGTCAACTGAGAATTCTGATTGAGGTAAGTCAGTTGAGAAGAGGATATAAAAGGACAAATGTGATGAAAATTCAGTCAATGACTGAAAATAAACGAATATCTGCACAGCAGGTTTTTCAGATCAACTGGAAAATTAAAAAATACACAATTTGAAGGGGCAGAGCCAAGTATAGGCAGGCTTGACAATCAAGTAATAGTTCTTATCAACTGACCAAAGAATCTGAAAGTAATTGTCTAAAGCTTTCTTCTCAATCTAAACTTTATTCTTAACATAATCTTTATTTAAGTCTTTGAAAAATGTTCTTAATCAATTTCTTAAAACCACACACAATAGAAAATACTTTAAATAAATAAATATATATATCATTTTTTAAAAGGAAAATATTGTTTGTTTGTTCATTTATTGATATTTACAACTGTATACATAAACAATAATAAATAATAAACAGTAAATCTATACAGTAAGTAAATCAAAAAGGAAAAGATAAAGTATAAATAAGATAAAACAATTATTATTTTATTTGCAGCTGTAAAAAAAATAACTTAAATGGATACCTTATTTCCAGGTATAACACCATTTATGGGCTGAAGAGACTCGAATAACTGCTCATATTTTAGTTTTTCTATTGGAGTCATAGCCCAATCACTAATGGGGTGAGAATCTCTCCTGGGCAGAATGTTAGTGGCTGCCATATCCTTGCAATAAAAGAAAAAAATACTAATATACAAAACAAAAAGGAATAAATTATTCACAAAAGTTTCAGGGAATAAACTGATTTCTTGAGAAAAAGTAGAAAAACCAAATCAGTAATTAGTTTCTGAAGAATGATTTATATACATAAACTCGGTCACAGAATTAACATATTACTTTATTTACTGTATACTTCAAAATCTATGTTGATATCATTACATGAACATTATCTTTGTTGATTATCATTACATATATGTAAACATACTTATTATTTATTCATTTGTTAGTTAATTTTTTACTTAGCTTATCTTTTATATTAGTTTTAAGGTTACATCACTCTGTAATTTAATTATTTCATGTCATATGACACCAGACAAATGACACTTCTATTGTTCATTATTATTATTAATAGAGTTGTAAATGTCTTAAAATAAAGCTTACTTTTCTTCTTCTTCTTCAAAATCAATAGCTAGAGAAATTTCCACAAACCTCATTTAAAACAAAAAGCAAATTCAAAATGGTTGCAAAGAGAAAGAATAATTGAAAAAAAAAAAACTATTGTCGAGGATGAAGTAAGAAGAGGCCAATCTTAGGCTATTTAAATCTGTGTTCATCTCGATACTCCTATATGGATTGGAAAGCTGGACAACCTTTAATAATAAGCATGTAAGCTGGAGTACATTGATTGAAATCAGATTTATCCAAAGAATAATCAGTTAAACCAGACAGTCTGTTCCAAAAATGAAAAAAAGATCCTGAGAATTCGGGAATCCAATCAGGACGTGGCCTCCTGGGACAGCGACAACCACAATGGTTTGGGCATGTAAGTAGAATAGATAATATTCAAAATATTGAGAGGTACTTAGAAAGAAGAAAGGAATAAACAGAACCAGGTACATTTATTCGGAGTATATTGTTAAACTGGGAGCAGCAAGAGGATCCACCATCCTGGAAATTATGTTTTGGAGGGCGCTTTTTAGGAAAATACTTTCGGATTTGAGATTGTGCCCCCAGGCATCAACTTTTTGTAACCTTTCGTATTTAATCGATATGAGGGTCGACTATTATGTTTTAGGGGCCGCTTTTTATAAAAATACTTTAGGATTTGAGATTAATGAATTACTAAGATGCAGTGGGGAAATTGTATCTGCCCTGGATGCTAATGCACATAACAAGATCTGGGGGAGCTCAAACACTAACTCTAGAGGTGAGAAACTCTTAGAGACTATAATTAAATATGATCTTGATATTCTGAACAAGGGAGAACAAGCCTACCTTTTGTAATAGGACTAGAATGGAGAACATAGACATAACACTAGCGACTCGATCAATTAGTGTCCTTATAGATAACTGGATTGTCTCTGATGAAGAAACATGCTTGGATCACAGGTATATCAGATTTGATATATCTGACAGAATATAACATGATGAGGAATATAGAGATCACAAACGTACAAACAGGGCGTTCTATAGTTCTAACTTGGAGGCAGCTGTTAAATGCTGCCCCAAAGTTATCCACAATACATGGCAATTGGAATGTTTAAATACTTCAATTACTGATGCTATGATTAGATCATATCTGGCCAGTAATGAAGCTAAAAAAAACCATAACCAACAGAAAAGTGTCCAGGTGGAATGGTAGTCTAACAAAGCAACGAACACTCACAAGGAGATTGTTCAACGCTGCTAAAACATCTGGCAATTGGGATACCTACAGGAAAGCTCTAACTGAGTATCAAAAATCTGTCAGGAAAGCCAAAAGACATGCCTGGAAAAGGTTTTGTCTGGAGGTTGATAAAATTTCGGCAGTATGTAAAGTAAACAAAATACTGTCAAAACAAACCAACACATGTACGATGGGAACACTCAAACATGAGGATAAATACACCACGAATGAAATTGAAATGTTGAGTGTTGTAGCAAAAGCTCATTTCCCAAATTGTTTTACGACAGTAACAGAACCTCTTGACCCCAATATACAGGATCGTGGTACTGGTGCACGTATGTGGGGTCTTGCAAGAAGAGTGATTACAAACAGCAGACTTGAATGGGCAGTGAATTCATTCTCTCCTTTCAAATCTACTGGAACTGATGAGATCTTTCCGGCATTGCTACAGAAGGGTCTCCTAGAGATAAGGCCATATCTTCTGGAATTACTAAGAGGTAGCCTAGCACTGGGATATCTACCATGTAAATGGAGGATATCCAATGTGCGATACATTCCAAAACCAGGAAAAGTCTTATGAAGACCCCAAGGCGTTTAGGCCAATATGTCTGTCATCTTTCATAATGAAGACATTAGAAAAGACACTTGACAGACATAGAATAGAATAGAATAGAAAATAATTTTATTTTGGGACGAAGTTCCTTCAGAATAACAAAAAATTACAAAATTGAAATGTTATATCTGGCCAAATAAAAACAAACATAAAAAGTAAAGGTTAAAGCTAAATCAGTAAAGATAATATTAGTTTTACATACAATATACAACATAAAAAAAATCTATATACAAAACTCTTGAAACCTTGCCAAGACACTTAAAACTACGTACAATGGTAAAATATAAATATACACTTTTAGAAAAAATAAAAAAAGTCGAATCTGCTAATAAGTATTTCAGTTATGAGCTATATGTAAATACATTATTATGAATAATATGTAATTTTACATAAAAGGAGGGAAGGAAATTCCAAAAACTAACAGAGCGAGCAATAAAGGAGTTTTGGAACGAGGCAGATCTGTGAGAAGGAATGTAAAGATCGGAAGGTTGAGATCTTGTGGCGAGGGAGTGGACTGAGGACTTGAATTGGAAAAGGTTGTAGCCATAGGAAGGATGATGATTATTGATATGATAGAGGAATGTACCTAGGAAATATTTTCTTCGAATGGAGGGGAAGAGCCACTCTAACTCAGTGTAGTGGTGAGAGACATGGGAGTATCTCGGGGTACCAATTACAAATCTCACACAACTGTTCATTAATCTTTTCAGTCTGTCACGGAGCTCCACCGAGAGTCTATACACCACACAGCTGTAGTCAAAGTGGGGGAAGATGAGAGAGGAAACCAGGAGTCTACACGTATGTTGAGGTAGGAGATGGCGGAAGCGATGGAATAGTTTGAAGGTAGAAATTATCTGTCGGGAGATGTGAGAAATATGGTGATTCCAGGAGAGGTTTTGATCAATAAATAGTCCTAAATTTTTGACAGTGGAGTAGAAGGAGATTGGCTGGTCACCAAGGTTTAGTATAGGATCTAAGGAGGTGCTTGGAACCAATGACAATAGCCTGAATTTTTGCAGCATTTAACCTTAATCCGTTTAAATTTGCCCAGGCACAGATTCGATCTAGGTCTGCTTGGATCTTAGTAAATGCTACCAATAGCTCAGGGGGAGAAAAGGATAGGTATATTTGTGAGTCGTCTGCATAAAGGTGGTGGGAACAATGGAGAATTGAATCATGGAGGTCATTAATAAAGGAACTAAAAAGGAGAGGAGATACGCTAGATCCTTGGGCAACTCCAGAGGATAAAGGCAGGTAGGCAGATAGTGGTTGATTGAGAATGGAGACTGCTAGGGTGCGTTGTGGGAGAAAAGATTGGAACCAAGAGATGGAGCTATTGGAGAAGGAAAGTGATTTTAGTTTGTTGAAAAGGATGGGATGGTTGATGGAATCGAAGGCTTTAGAGAAGTCAAGAAGTATAGGGACAGTTAATTGTTAATTATCTATTGCAGTATGAACGTCATTGGTGATTTTAATTAGTATGAACGTCATTGGTGATTTTTATTAAGGCGGATTGTGTGGAGTAGCCGGGACCCAGATTGGAGAGGATCAAGTTGGTTGGACTTTTCGAGGAAATTGGAAACTTGGGATTGCACCAATCTTTCTAGGGGTTTTGAGAGATTGGAAAGAATTGAGATTGGGCGAAAGTCATCGGGAGAGGATTAGGCTTTTTATTTAAAGGGAGTACAATGGCTTTTTTCCAAGAGGTAGGGAATATTGAGTTCTGTAGGGAGAAATTGTAGATAAAAAGGAGAACTGGGAGGATTTTGGGGAGACATAATTTTGTCAATTTGACAGGAATGCCATCTGGTCCTATGGAATTGGTGTGGGATTTCATTACTGAGGTTAATAAGTCAATCGGGGAAATGTCGGAGAAATAAAAGTCATCATCATTAAATGATGACTCAGGAGCTAAGTTGGAAGAGACGGGAAAAGAAGAGGTAGAGGAGGCAGAAATAAAATGTGCATTTAAATCGTCAAGTGAAACGGGAAAGACCAGTGAGGAAGGGGATCTGGACGGTTCATAGAGGGAAAGTTTGCGAAGAATTAGCCATTTAGATTTGGGATCTGGAGCAGATGAGAGGACTTCATGAAAGTAGAAAGCTTTAGCTCGCCGAATTCTTGTTTGTGTCAAGTTGCAGAACACCCTAAAGGCTTGATAGTCATCTGTAAGTCTGGTACGTCTAAAGCGTCTACAGGCAGCATCACGTCTCTTCTGCAGATCCTTCATTTCTTGGCAGATCCACGGTGCAGGTCGGCGGAGAAAGGTTGAGGTTTTTATGGGAGCATGGGTGTTAAGGATATTGAGGAGATTGGAAGTCGCAAATCTCAACCATGGAGTCGATGGAGGAGCAGGAATATATTTCGTTCTAGCCTAAGTTTCAAGGTTGGGTAGTATTTTTTCACGGGTGAGAGTGTCTATCTGACAGAAAGTGAAGGTTTTCGGATGAATCAGAGGGGTTTAGATATTATATGTTATTAGGATCATGTCGTGAGACGACAAGAAGGATACTGGCAGTTGAGAAGAGGAGAGGAGATTTTGTTCGGAGTCTATAATGAATAAATCTAACCAAGTGTCGGCCTTGCGGGTGTGGTGAGTAGGATAAAAAGGAACAATAAAGAGATGAAGGGAAAAAAATAGGTTTTCTAGATAGGTTTTGTCTTTGGAATTAGAAAGGAAATTGGTATTGAGGTCACCGGCGATGATTATTCTAGGATAGAGGGGAACAAAGTTGAGTAGGTTGATTCTAAGGACGGATCAAATGGAACAAGGGGAGGACGGTAGATCACTGTGTAAAGGAGAGGGGAATTATTACAGGTAATTTCTACTAGAAGGTACTCCACTTGTGGATGTTCGGAGGGTGGGGAGTAATCAAGGATTTGGGACTTCAGGCTATCATGGACAAATATGGCTACCCCACCACCAGTCCGGCTGGCCCGGTCGTGGCGGATGAGGGTGTAATTAGGTAAGGAGACAGATGAGGACGGAATATAAGGTTTGAGCCAGGTTTCTGAGATTGCGATGATGTGAAAAAAGTTTTGAGAAAAGTACTGCAGGAATTCATCATAATGGGCGGGAAGGGATTGCGAGTTAACATGACAGGTAGTTAGGATGCTAGACATAGGGAGGATTTGATGGGAAACAGTCAGAAATTAGCATAGAGGGAATGAGGCATATATCATATTCTGAAAAAAAATTTAAGATAAGTACTAATAAACAAAATAAAAGTGACTATTGAAAAAATAAGTGAGTAACAAGAGAAAGAAACTAAACAAATTAGTAAACAAGAGCTATGAGACAGTTTAACCAAAATCTTCAAAATTATTTGGGCACCAATTAAGATAAAAAATACTTTGAAGAAAGAGAAGAAGTGATGAAACCTGTACAGTCAGGCGAAAACATCAAGATCCAATGCCTGATTAATCGAGATTACTTGATGGCCATCTTCTTTTCGGCATCGCACATTACCAGAAGCGAACCATACGTATCTTATCTTCCCGGCAGCTCTCTTCTGCCGGGCTAACCAGTAGAGGTGCCGTTGGGGTCATCTCCTCGCCGAGATAAATTCGGTGGCAGTAGTTTTCCTGCCACCCAATATAACGCGTTGAAAAGTCCCTCTTCATTTTCCTTCTCGCTATCAGGTCATCCCTCACTGACAGCCTGACGAAATGTGCTATTACTGGCGGCGGTCACGGGCCGTCCTTCTTGCTTCTGCAGCATTGCACCACATCCACATCCTCCACTCCAAGCTTGATGCCCAGCCCCGCGGCTATACTGGTCACCAGAGCCGCGGGCATCTAGCCTGTTCGCACTGGTATCCCACGGATCTCAAGCGATCTACATAATAGACCCTGTTCTGTTTTATTTAGGCGGATCTCTAAATCGCCGACTCGAGCTTTGAGGGCTTTATTTTCCAAAATGATCTCAAAATGTTTGGCTTGGCCCTCGAGATGTTTTTCTAATTTTGATAGCCTCTCATTCAGTTCAAAGCTGAGGTCTCCATTTTTATCGAGGGATGTCTTCATATCCCTTATTTCCTCACTAACATGATTATCCAGACTATTAACTGCTACTAATATTTCTGATACAGGCGGTTCATTGTTTAAATTTTGTTTCTTTGCTTGATCGCAATTTAGGCACATCCATGTTTTTTTTGTACTTCTCTGAGCTTCTATCTCTTTGTCTGTGAGATTAAAACACTTGCCGTGATAAATAACTTTACACTTGGCGCAACATAAATTGTAATTATCTTCACGGGCAATAGTGTTATTACAAATCGTGCACTGAACTATTTTATAATAATAAAAAATAACCTACAGTTAATGTAAAGTGAAGTTTATATTGTCATCCACTAAGCAAACAACTGCTTATACTGACAGGATTATTAGCTTAACAATCACAGGGCTCGTAGAACTCTCACTATATTTTCTTTATGTTGAGCAGCGTGAAAATACGTAAATATAAGAAGTATTAAAAATTACGTACGATAATATAACACTGTTCAGAAAAAACAAAACAAAGAAAAAACAAAATTGGGCTCAATATATGAAATTAAAAGAAAGCGCTCTGTAAATGTTTACTCACGGCAGTCTCTGGCCAGACATATTAGGGAACATATATTGGCTACAAGCCCAATACACTCAAAGCAATATGCCTACCAACCAGGGAAATCCTGTGGCGCTTCATAACTTGGTAACAAGAATAGAGAAATCCTTAGAACAGAGAGAAATCATGGTAGGTGTCTTCGTTGATATCGATGGTGCCTTTGATAGAACTCCCTATAACATCATAAATGATGCACTAAGGAAAAAAGACATAGACTCTATGTCCTCTAGATGGATTGGGAGTCATGGGCTAAGCACGTTCAGAACGTGACAAGTAAAGCCCTCAAATACCTATGGGCCTGTAAAAGAGCGATAGGAAAGAGTTGGGGACTCAAACCAAAAATGGTATACTGGCTGTACACAACGACAGTCAGACCTATCATACTTTACTCAGCTTTGCTATGGTGGCACAAAGCAAAGACTGCAGCTAACTCATCCTCATTAGGAAAGATTCAAAGACTTGCATGTATAATGAGAACTGGTGCGATGAGCACAACACCAACGGCCAGCATGGAAGTAATGTTGAACATGCCACCGCTCCAGCTGGAGGTGAAGGCTCGGGCAACAAACACATTATACTGGCTAAGCAAGTCAACTTACTGCTCACCAGTCCATTAATACATACATATTTATATCAGTTTTAATATTGATCTCAATTAACTTATATATCATTGCTTAACGCTTGCATTTTAATTTTATGTTGTTTTATATTTTACTCTGTTTATACTCATTTCATTTAATATTAGTCATTTACTTATATTTGATATCTTGTACCAATTAATAGTAATTTTTTGTATATTGTTCTTTTTAGCCCTGGTGATGACCTACATCATCGGTATAAATCAAGGCTGTTAATAAATGTTACACCAAATTAGAGTGTAATTGTTGACCGTACCCCTTAAACAATTATTCCTTCAATGAGAACTATGACCAATCATTTTCCTTTCATTACTAACCATTATTAATTTAAAAACAATTAAAAAGTACAGAAATGTCATACATGCTTAGATGCTAAAAAAACAAATAAATTACATTAAAATATTCATGCATTTAATAGCAACATAACCCCTAGGTATTGTAAAAATATAGTTAACCATATATTTAAGAGAATATATTTGTTAGTATTTAAGTAAAAATAAACTTACAAATTTTGGAGCTGGGACGTCTAATAGTAAATGCATCTGAGAGACATCATAGCCTAACTGAGCAAGTGAAACTAGCTTCAAGGCAACAAAAAACCCAACTTTATTTAAGAATCCCTTGCCATTAGGATCAGATAAATCCCAAATCTAAAAAATAATAGATATAATAGTAACAATTATAATAAGAATATGGGAAAGTAATAATATTTCTATTACATTTTTCTTAAGACCCAATCAATAGTATGATCTAAAACCACTTACATAATAAAAAATTAAACAAAAAGCTGTCAACGAAACAAACCAATTGTTCATTTTATAACTATCAAAATAATGACAGTAAAAGTAAATCAGCTTAAGAAGATCCTGTATTGGAGACAATACCAAGAAGAGTCAAGTAAGACTTACAGGTAACCGAGAACTTTCAGAGAAGGACGATGTTGAAGATACTATCTATTGTTTAAGGAACAACATAGCTTAAGAAGACAATGCCCAACCAGCGGAATTGCTTAATGGAGGAGAAGATATATGAAAATTGATACAAATATAATGGCAGGCTCTGTCTTTTTTGGCATGAATGACAGTAATAATGACACCAAGGCAATGATGTAGCATGTACTGTGAGACAAATGACTTCAAGTGTTGCATATTATATTTGGTGGCATAATGTAGCCCTTTTGCTAGTAACACCTAACTGATAAAAATGACATTAAAAGAAATGTATCTGCAATTGAGAAGTTCATGGCTTACTCAGGTAACTTAATAATATGCTCAGATATAAACTCCTGAAACACAGTTCAGAGATCCAATTGAATGAATTAGAATGGGCATTCAGCTGGGAGAATTATCATTAAGAACCAATTAGTAGTGATGAAGGATGCCAAGAAGAGAAGAGTCAAGGAATAAATTGTTGGAGGTGACCTAGAAAGTTATAATTAAAAAAATTATGAATATAATAATAATTATTTAAGGAATAACAGAGGTCCAGAAGATAACGGCCTATCAACTGAATTGCTCAATGGTGGAGAAGATAGGTGAAATATCGGTACTTCATCATATTCTACAAGAAAAGAAAAAAAACCTGCTGTCTGGCTTAATCTATCTTAAGTTTCCATAATTAAATAGATGAAATTCTCTTTAGATTCTGTATCTCAAGCTACAGGTAAACAACTTTACTTTAGGAAGGGAGACCATTCCAATGCAGTCACCTAATGCATTAGTGAATGGAATTATGAGAACAAAATCAAAATGTTTAAATAAATTCAAGATAATAAATATCATAAGGTTTGAGTGTTAGCCTAAGCTCCGCCCACAAGGGTCCCCTTGAATCATTTTTCTATAATTTCCTATGCTGAGAAAGAAATCAGTAGATAATAGACATGATTTAGGATGGTCTAATAAGATCTTATAAATAGAGAACATAAAATGGACAAGCTTAATATCTTTTCAAACCTTATAAAAGCTTAAAGCATCAATAGAAAGAAATATATAACACGAAATTGAATTCATAGCCTTTTATTTTTTAAATTTATACACTGACAGGCAAAAAATTACACCCACTTGATTTTTCCATGTTTTCATCTAAAAATATTCCTGTAAAGTTGATTTTGTATATAATACATGGTTTTTGTAGATAATACTTAGTATTTATGGAATTTTATAATAATTTTTACCTTTAATAATAAAAATGTGGTTGGGTAAGAAAGATTAGAGAAAAAAAAATTGAAAATAAACCATTATTATTCTAAAAGAAATTAATTAAATCATCGTTTAGTAGCGCATGTTTCCTCCTCTTGCCTTCACTACTTCTTGAAGAGGCCTCGGCATACTTTTCACCAGTTGGGAAATGTCCCTTTGCCCATTCCTCCCGAAGAGCTCTTTCAAGGTCCTGCAGTGTATCAGGAAGTGTTGCACGCGCTCTTTTTCGTCTTCCGAGGTTATCCCATAAATGCTCAATGGGGTTCAAATCTGGAGAACGTGGAAAGCTAAAACCTCAATATTGTTCTGTTGAAGGAACGTCTGCACTATGCGGGCAACATGTGGGCGTGCATTAGAATAGAATGATCGCCGATTTTGTTGAGGATAGGCAACACATGAGGTTCCAAAATCTCATCTACATAGCGAATGGCCGTCAAAGACCCTCCACGAACAACAACCAATTCTGTGCAACGCTCCATTGAAATCCCAGCCCACACCATGCACTCCATTCGTCCATAGTCCAATGGCTGTGTTCTCAAAGCAACAAAAGCCAGCCGTGTTACTCTGTGAGTTCTGGTCAACTCTGGTCCTCTTACTGGACGAAAAACATTAATCCATACTCATTTAATCTTCTCTGAGCGGTACGTTCAGAAATTTGCACACCTCGAACTTCTTTGAGCAGATGAATCGCTTGAACAACAGTAAGGTGGCGGTTTCGTAAAATTCTCAAAGTCAAAAACCGGTCATCCCGTGGTTCTGTTACCCTAGGCCGTCCAGAACCGGGCCTTTTATTGTAAGAACCAGTTTCCTGAAAATGCCTGACGGCGTCTCATAAAGTTTCATATTGGACTCCGATGGCATTAGCTGCATATCTAATGGAACATCCATCATTAATAAGTGCCACACCACACGCAACATCCTCAGCACTAAGAGGCATTTTTAAACTTAATATTGAAAAAATTAAAAGCCAGAGACTAAGAAATGTGCTGCAAGAAACGGCACTAAACTAATGATACTGAATAAACATTTTGATTCCATAGAGAGTAAACATTGGAATCTAGAATCATTTCATTGAAATAAGGATTAAGGGTTATTGTCCTCTATATTAACATTCCTCATTGAAAACAAACAAAAAGGTTACCTATTTATTAATAAAAACAATAGACCAATCCAAAGCAGAAATATTTTTAGATGAAAACGAAAAAATCAAGTAGGTGGAATTTTTTGCCTGTCAGTGTATAACTTCTCACATAGTGTTTCTGAAGAAAAATTCAACAGTTTGTTTTATTTTTAATTTTAAGCCCTCAGAAAGAAATGGATTACATGGGAAACAACATAGGAAACTTTTTAAAAAATTTTCATATCAAACGTTATCAGAAATTGGTTAATAATAAATTTCAAATGAAGAATAAAAAAATAATGACACTATATGCACCAACAAAAAAAATTAAAATATATCAAAAATAATGTAACTGTTACAGTATAATGAAAAAGTAATATAAGACGATTAATTAATAAATTATAAAATTAAAAGAAAGTTTAAAATTAAATTAATTTAAGACAATTAATAAATTATAAAATTAAAAGTTAAAAAAAAAAAATATTTAACTATTTATTGAAATATGAGCTAACATCATATTAAAGAAAAATGTATTAGTCAGTTCTAATAATAAAGAAAGTATATTTTAATGTGAAAAGTGCAAAAAGATGGGAGCAATGCAGTGAATAAATCCCGCGCACACGGGATTGGCTGGACCTTCAGTACCCCGCACACACGGGACCTGACCTTGATTCAGGCTCCGCACAACTAAATGTTAATAGTAGCAATAGGCAAAACATTATGGGCACAGGCTTTGCTGTAAGAAACTCCCTCCTGCACTCTGTTATAAAATATATAATAGTGAAAGAAAGAATATGTGTATCAAGGTTGAGAGGAAAGTTTTTCAACATTTTCCTTATTAGTATCCATGCAACTATAGAAGGTAAAGACAATGAAGAGGAAAAGGATACATTCCATCGAATGTTAGAAAAGATGCATGATTCCTTACCTAAGCATGAGGCCAAAATAATTCTGGGAGATTTTAACCTTAGGATAGGAAAAGAAAAGATATTCTTCCCAATAATAGGCAATCACAGCAAGCATAAGGAAACAAGTAAGAATGGACTGAGAATGGTTGAATTCGCAATGGTAAGGAGCCTTAAAATAAGAAGTACATTTTTCCCCCATAAAGATATTCATAAGGAAACATGGATCTCGCAAGATGGGCTGACCTAAAATCAAATTTACCATGTTCTTATTGATAGCAGACATGTCAGCGATATTTGCGATGTCTCCAGTTATATGGGAGCTAACTGGGACTCAGACCATTATCTGGTCAAGATTCTATATAAACAAAAGCTGGCACTAAGAGAAAAAGATAATGTAAGAAACACTACACCTTACAATGTTGAAAAACTAAAAAAGGAAGCTATAGCTCGATAATTCCTAGAAGAAATAACAGAAAGGATGAGAGAACAAGTGTCTGCCAATATGAATATCAAAGAAAAGTGGAAACACCTTAAAGATGTTCTCAGAGAAGTAACAGAGGATATTGTAGGCAACACACCAAAAATAAACCAAAACTACTGGTTTGATGACGACTTGTGTTAGGGTTAGGGCCATTGAAGAAAGGAACAATGACAGACAGAAAATACTGCATTGGAGCAAGGGGCCAGAGCAATGAAGAAAAATCCAGGAGGAACAATCTGAAATTGACTTACCCAACACTTGGCATATGCTGATGACGTGGTAATGTCGACAAGATATAGAGCCACAGCACTATTAGGAGATTTAAGGAGTTTTAAGATGCTGGAAAAAATTGGGTCTTAAAATAAATAAGGAAAAAATCCAATATATCATACCCTCAAAAAGAGAGGGACAAGAAGGACCGGATAGCATGAAACTGCTCCACCACACTTTTAAGAAAGCTGGTAGTTTAAAATGTCTTGGAGCCTTAGTAATGGGGTAAAAATGACATCACAGTAAAAAATAAAGCAAGAATCACAGCAGGCAATAGATGTCTGTCTTTTTGAATTACAGAAAACATTACGTTTTCGAAACCTGTCACGGAAGGCAGAGCTACTGGTTTAGAAAACTATTTTAAAACCAATTGTCACTTATGCAGGTGAAACGTGGGTCCTGACACAGGAATGCGAGAAGATCCGACGGATCTGGGAAAGGAAGGTCCTTTGACAAATCGTTGGGCCAATGTAAAAAAAGAAATAATAGAGAACTCCAAGAACTGTATAAAGAACCAGACATAGTCACATATGTTAAATCAAGCCGTATAAGATGGCTTGGGCACATAGAAAGGATGGATGAAGACAGATAAACGAAAATACTATTATATGAAAAACCAGGAGGCAAAAGAAGGAGAGGAATGCCCAGACTTAGATGTATTGATGATGTGGAGGACGATTTGCAGAAGATGGGAATCGGACAATGGAGAAGCTGATAGAGAGGATTGGAGAGGCGTTGTTGTGGAGCGAAGGCCCTACAAGGGCTGTTTAGCCACGGAAGTAAGTAATTGTAACAATTAAAGCTGAACTAGAAAATTAAAAAAACTGTTATCGATCAACAATTAAAAAATAAAAAATACAATAACAAATTAAAATACAACAAAACCTTGCTTAAGATGGCATCCGACAAACCAGATGTCTTTAAGAATCTGGCAGCATCAACAGCAGGAATTGTTCCTTGTTGCTCCAGTTTGCTGAAATAGTTTTCATAAACACTGTAATGGCTCCCAGCCACCTGAAATGAAAATATAAATACTATTGTTTAAAAAACTTATATAATAAAAATGTTTACAACATAATTATTTAAGAAACTTCATCAATTCTTATGAACAAAACCATGTCTTTCTATAAGTAAGAACATATCTAAAACAGAGAAAAATATTCAGAACAAGGTTGTTAATAACTAATAAATGTTGTACTATTCCTAAGTGCTTCTTAAATATGGCAGATTCGCACAAAATCACAATGTAGATAGAATCAAGAAATAAGAAGAGTAATTACAATCACATTTACATGATATAATCATGCTAAAACTAAACATGTCCTCACTTACATAATAATACGTTCTCCCTTACATAAAATGTGTAGGTTAGGATGCATTACCCTCGTTTTGAGGATTTAATTATGATTATTAAAATTATTATTATTATTATTATGGTGCTATGGTCCTGCAAGAACCCGTGCTTCCTCAACTACAGCCAACCAATCTCCACGGTCTTGTGCTACTTCCCTCCATCTTCGAACGCCCAGCCAACCCAGATTGTCCTCAACATCCTCCAGCCAACTGATCCGTGGGCGCCCTCTACTTCTTTTGCCATCCGGCTTCTCAAGCAGCATCTTCTTTGGCATTCTTTGGTCTGGCAGTCTTTCCACATGACCTAACCATCAGATTCTGGCTCTTTTTATCAATGGCAATTATCATTGCTTTAATTAAATCAATTTGTTATCCATCAGGCTCCATAAAATTATAAATAGATATTAATATAAATATGTATATAAATTATTAGATCATTGTTAATTATTTTTACTAATGATTTATAATTTTTATTAATTGCTTAGTCAGAAAGTAACTGATACTTTTTATTACGACTGTTTATACAGCCCACATTTCTTATCATTCTAAAGGGACTTGTCCCAGAATAAATCAAGTATTATTATTAAAACCTATAGTTAAAACGACTCCCTTAGGTTCGCATGATGTTTAAATAAAATTTGAAAAAGATAAAGCTTAGTAAATATAAAAATAATAGCTGACTTACAGATGCCAGGCATATTCAGTAAAACCCTGGGCATACATGAATCGGATATTAGTTATTAGTATTCGTGATCATATTCACAAAAAGATATAATCTCTTGTTAAATTATATTAACCTAACCACAGAGACCGAATCTTGAAATGCTTTCTTCATAGAGGGTTCACGACAAATTCCCAGAAATTGCAGCCAAGAACTATAGCAAAGATTATGAAGGTTCTGGCAATAAAAGGTGTGATACCTACAACTAAGGACTAGAGGCTTCAGGAAACCGCTACGACTAATGAGTGGAGGCAGACACAGCTTGACCTTCAGAAGCCACTAAGACATTTGAGACGATCATGAGTAAAAAATGCAGACCAGAAAAAATATATTAGCTAACCATGACAATAAAAATTAACTCAATTAACAGAGAAGAGAGATAGTAAAATATAGAAGATTGTAAAATTTCTGTCAACAAAGCCAACTCAAAAGATGTCATTATGATAATTGAGAACCATAAAAGAGCCAAATGGATAAAATTAAAACTGGCTATCATCGTCGAAACAAATAGGCATAAAGGCCTTATAGTATGTTCCACCAAGGCAGGATACAACTTCTTTGGCATGTATGATAGTAATAATGCCACCAAGGCAATGGTGTAGCATGGAATGTGGGACAACTGACTTCAAACCAAATAATGCACCATGATCTATCAGGCGGCATATTGTATGATAGTCTCACCTACCTAATGGAAATGACTTTAAAAGAGATGTTCACAGCTTACACAAGGAATGCTCATATATCAACTCCTGAAACATGGTCTGGGAATTCAATTGAACAAAGGGGCATTTAGCTGGGAGAATTCATCGCTAGGAGTTAGTAGTGATGAACAATGCCACTGGCATTCTAATGGTTTGCATTGCAAGCGGGAGCTTACTGGGGCAATGGAATCCCTGAAGCTAGCAAACCGCTCTCCAATCTGAGGCAAATTTTAACAATAAAGCAACAGGTTATAGGGAGATGGAAAATTCAGCCCCCTCTCACATTATTAATAAGGTTTATAAAACTCAATAGACATTGATACATTAGAGGCAGGGGAAAAGCAGATTCTCAGCTGAAAATGCGCCGTGACATTGATGAAAGGGGGGAGAAGTATGTTATGTTTCTCCTGTTTGAGATATTCTTCGTCTTTGATGGCTGATAAATGAGCAGTTGTACGAGTATGATGCTCTAAGCAACTTTTATGAACAATTATATGGAATACATGTGGAAAGAAATGATGGTTCCAATCTAATTCTCTTCCAACACCAGGGAGGACGGCAGAAACAGAACAATAGCTAATGAAATAAAAAAAAAGAGGAGCAAATTATGTGTAGTACAAATGATACAAAATGTTAATTCTTTTAAATGCAGCAGAGGGCCACTATGCAGACACGTATAAATAACAACTCAATTCTGCCTATACCTGTATTGCCAAAAGGGCTGAGTAAATACATATATATTACGATTATATTTTAAAATCCACACAAGTTAATCAAAATTTTATTATTTCTTTCCATATTCAAAGCAAAACGAAGAGGAGATTTTGCTTATAACTCTCTAAACTACGATTACATGCTTTCCATGGTGCAGGAGCAGACTATCCATAGCTTTTCCAGAAAATTGTGGTGGGCAGTCACTCAGTTTCGGATGTCTCCCAGCCAAGTATCTACTGCACTCAATATTTATTTACCAATTATAAATGACTTATTACAAACCACAGGAAAATAATAATAATAAAAGCACCTGTTGATTTGTAACTTTTTTGAAGATAAAATGTTTTCTCACCTTCCAGAGAGGGAAGTGGGGGGTCCATTCCCGTCCTGGATCAGTTAGTGCAGACTTCTCCTAGCTGAAGGAATAAATTAACCATCAATAGTACTTTTTTTGTTAAAGTTAGGGCCTCTATAAGAATTGAAAAGGAACCATGTCCACAATCAAGGAAACTTACTGAGGCCTCAACCTACACTGAAAATATTGAGTTGAGATCTATGTGAAGCAGTCACAATTTGAATAACCACTAATAATGATAATAAATAGGATTGCTATTAATTAGTATTTTTATTGCTCAATGAAAATAAAACACTAAGTAACAATTAAAACCCTCTTCTCTTTTTATGGACACACTCGGCTATCTACAGTGTGATCGTGTGACCAGCAACCATGTCAGAATATGACTTCAGAACTAATACCATATATTTTAACAATAATAAAATTAACTAAACTCTTGTCAACTGCAAATAGAAAATGAAAAGCACTAACTTAATTTATAACTAGCATTTATTCAATAAAATATAATGTGAAGGAAAATTCAATTTTAAACAATTAATTCAGTTAAATCAAAGATATTTTGGAGATGTTTGAAACACTGAGGAAACTGGTAGTTTATGCTTAATTAAACAAAACTATTCCTAACATTTTAATTTTCAGATTCAACGTAAAGACACACAGACACAACAGAAATAAAATTTTACAAAATAATCATTAAAGATGCGTTTAGACATTTCACAAAAAAATATATAAATAGTTATTTCCCTACACTAGTATTTTTGTTTCTGTTTTTGATAATTTCCATCTGCTGTCAGTAAAGAGAAATAAAATAAATAGTTTAGTTAATAAATAAGGTCTCTGTTAGTTAAATTAGATAATTGTATTTCACATAGTATGTGAAATGTCTAAATGTACCTTTACTAACAGTCATTAAGATCATTGGAGAGAAAACAATAAATATACATTTCAACCATTTATATAACAAAAATTCTAATTAATAAAAAAATTAATTTGACCACTAACAAAAAAAAAACTGATGCAATGCATTTGTTTAAAAACTAATTAATTCTATAACAAACTAAAAAGAATATTTGGATATAAATAACATTGTTTTCTCATAAGTATAAATCAACTTAAAATTTATGACATATAGAAACTGACAATGGAGCACATTAGTTTTAACATAATTACAAATTTATTGTAACAACCAAATTCTAACATGCAATATGTTTTAACTAAAAATTTTTTAGTCATGTATCCACAAGATCATTGAGATTGTAGTTCTGAAGATGAGAGTAAATCTCCCGAAACGTAAACTTGTAAAAATGCAATTTTGATAATACAACAAATATATTCAATTGTTGCTAATTGGAAGTAATCATTGCCAAATAACTAAGTATGACATATACATTCATAACAAGGACAAGTATGACTTATGCAGATAAAACTAAATTTTGACAGCTCTGAGAAAAAAAATGTTACTGAAGTTCTTCATGATTAAAAATATATTAATCATTAACAGATTGATTTTTCATGGTAGTAAAACTTTGATTTTATATGGTAATACAAAATAAAACAAATTGATATTCAGTAAATCCAATAGCGATTCCTACTTTATAACAGGTAAGAACTACTAGGGCATGGTTCTACTCTGACCAAAAACGATTTTCTGTATCATGAATATTATAAATCATGTAAAGAACATATATTCATCCTTTTTTACTTGGATATCGAAGAAACATCTTACATTACATGATTAGATAAGAAAAAAATAAATATGATGTTTTTTCCAATTCCAATAAAGAAAATGAATAAACGGGGCATTTATAATACCGAAAACTCTAAGTCAACAAGCCTTTGATGCAGTAAGTATTGATATTAAAAATAAATAAACCATTCGTGCTAAATTCAGTTGTTTATTTTTTATCACACTAGGAAATGATTACTTCTCACTTCCATTTGATAAGTCTATATGAAATCACATATGAAACAAATATATGTTGAACTGAATATAAATTAATTCAGAATTAGAAAATTAAAACACACCTGCGAAGGTGAAGGTAGGAAAGCCATTTTCCTGTTACTTAGTATCTCACTCACGGTACTAATGTTCTTTCAAAGACAAAGATCAATATAGAAGAAGAGGTCAAAATTGCATTGTATCGCAAAGAGGGTAAAAGAACATGACTTCTTTCTTTAAGACGTCACTGTAACCACTGCTTTCGAATTATCAATATAGGAAAAATATGTGTATAACAAAATAAACAGAAATGTATGACGAATCATACATTTCTGTTTATTCTTTGTACAGTGTATTAATTCTTCAACATCAGTTATTATTTGAAATAAAATTATAAATAAATTAGCATAGGTTTTCCCTCTTAATACGTACTACTATGAGGAGAAAATTGTGTTTGACCCCGTAGTAATAGAATATATTTTCGCTCTTTATTTACAGATGTACACAATGAACCTTCGCCCAAGGAAGTCCAGACGTCTCAAGCGACGACTTACATTAGAGTTAAATTATCCCGTTCATTATTTGGAAGCTCAAATAAGTGTTGCGTATTCCTTACCAGGCCTTATATGAATCACCAATTATGCTTTGGTGCATCAAGAAAACTTTAACTTGACTCAGGGGTGCCCATCCTTCCCAAGGTCGATGGCATAAGAACCTGATGGTTCAGCCTTTGAAGGCGAAATCTGCGGAGTTGGAAAAGCTAGGAATATGCAGCCATGAGATTCAATCATGAGGTAATTATCCCATATACAAATACGGGTAATTTGATTTGGAACAAATAAGGAAAATAAGTGTCGAACACAGAAAATATTCAAATTGTAATTGAAAAAGTAGAATTTTTCTTTTATAATATTTCTATTTGATATCTGTGTTAGTTTGAATTGATTAGGAAGCTCGGGTATCTAAAGAAGCTCCAACTTCTCAAACAACAATTAAGTTGTTGCAATCTATATTTTAGAACCATGGGTTTCCACGAATCTTAGTCTCCGATAATGCGACTATTTTCAAAAACGAGATCTTTACCAGATTTTGTGACAAGGCTGGAATTAAACAAAAATTTATAGCTACTGGTCAGCCAGCGACGAACGATTTGGCAGAAAGAAATGTCCAAACACTAAAAAATAAATTGAAGGTAATGTCAAAACTTAAGATGCCTCTACATACCATAGTCCAGGAGATTCTTCTACGCTACCGATCAACACTCTTAGCCTGTGGTAAGTCACCAGCAGAACTATACTTAAATAGGAAAGTAAACATAAAATTAGATGCGCTTAAGCCGCATAATGATTTTACAAACCTGCAACCAATAGAAGACAAAAAGGTTTGACAGCTGTAGGTAGGAGACAGGGTACAAACAAGATGGTATGCGAACAATAAGCCTTCTTGGAGATTTGGCACCATAGTTAAGAAATTTGGCAAGTTCACTACTTAATCAGTTTAGATGGAGATGGCTACACACTTAAGCGCCATATAGACCAACTGCGTCATATTCACATTCCTGAGCAACCAAAAAGTTGTTAATATAATAACATATCATACTGCGGCTGATAAGCGTGATACCTTTTAAACAGTTACATTCCTTGTCTTTCCAATGCCTGCAACCCCAGCAGGAACCTGTGGGGTTCCTGAACCAATGACGAAAACGACGCCACACCCATCTCATGCAGATGTGACGGAAAATGACAGATCGGAGAGTGAGACCACTTCTGCTCCTGGACCAGTAATGACCGACTTCCAGCCTCTGCGCAGATCACAGAGATGTCATCATCCTCCAGCTTATCTTTCCAATTATGTGCTAAATTAAGTCGCAGAGAGCTGTTGTATCTATTGATCATGCGAGATTTAGCACATGAGATCGATTATTGAATATTGTTGAAAAATGATATTTAAGTGCCTTATCTAAGTACGGCCAAATAACGGTGTTAATCCGTCTGGAACTACGGAGAAGATTTCTTTAGATACAATGTTCCTATATTGTAAGGGACTTCTACATAACCTAATGGAATAACAAGTCCGTATGTATAGGATCTGAACCGTATGTTTGTGTTTTGAATTTTCACATTTAGATGGAGCTCATAAAAATTAGTTTTGGGTAATAGTGTCTGTCCTACATCTGAATCAACTTCAAAAGTTTGGAATTTATTTTCTATTTTAATAAATAATAATAATAAATAATAATAATAATAAGGCTTAGCGAACCCGAAGGTTCGATGCCGACACCACCAATCGCTTGTTACACACCTCCCTCCACCGTTCGCCGTCCAAACCCAGTCCCTTCAGATCGGCTTTAATGCAATCTTCCCACCTTCGCTTCGGCCTACCCCTCGGACGCTTACCATTCGGCACAGCAAATATTAACCTTTTAGGAATTCTCTCGTTACTAAGCCCAACAACTTTACAAGCCCATTTGATTCGCCGCGATGAAATTACATCAATTATATTACCCGGATACAGCTCACGCAATTCGGCGTTGTGTAGCCGTCTGAACTCACCGGTTAACTCATCCTTCTTCGGTCCAAATATTCTACGCAATACTTTATTTTCAAAAACCTTAAGACGCTGCTCATCCCTTAATTTAAGCGGCCAAGTTGCGCATCCATAAAGAACTGTAGGCAAGATAATTGTTTTATAGATTCTAATTTTTAAGTTCCGGGACAAGAGGCGCGAACTAAGTAGTTTTGTCACAGATTTTCTATTTTAATACTAACAAAATATTTTTGCTCATCTTGAAATTTTTGAAGAATTTGCTTTGCATAAATATCAATAATTGGGTAAATATCGTAAGCTTCTGATGAACTTGAGTCAGAATCTGTGTCTTCGTTGTTCATGGAGTTAATATTTTCCTTTTCAGAAACCAACTTTTTAAAACATACTTTTTCTAGGTGTCCTTTTTTTCACAATGTTTGCACCTTATCTTCTTAGGATTTAATCTTCAATCCTTGGCGTTGTGATTATTACGACCACAGCGTAAGCATAGTCCATCAATTCCAAGATTCTTAAAATTTATACCTTGTTTTTGTTGAATTTTCAGACGGGTTCTAGATTTTCATTGGACTCGAAGAGTGGAGGAAAATTTAATCGGCCTCGAAAGTCTACTAATTGAGAGGTCTACGATGTTTTCTCCGGAAATTTCAATATTGTCCGAAATAGATGCCTCTAATGCTGAGGCCTTACATTTAGCTTCATTAAATGTTTTTGGGTTTTGTAACAGCAAATGTTGTCTCATTGATAGGTCCTTAACTTTACTTAAGGTTTTGGACTTTACTAAGGAGAGATTTTTAAGGATTTTTCATTTGGACTTAGGATCTGGGGCTTTTGATAAGGAAATATGAACAAATTGTGCCTTAGCACGTCGCAAGGAAGATTGGGTAAGGTTTCGAACAGTCTTAAAAGACAAATAGTCATCCGGATCCCGTGTGCGTCTAAAACGCCTCCTTGGAGCGTCTCTTCTCCTCATTAATTCTCTTATTTCTGGATTAATCCTGGAAGCAAGAGGGCATTTGAAGATTGAGGTCTTTAAGGGTGCGTGTTGATTTAGGAATGTTAGAGAATATAAGTCTGCCTGTGCTTCACAGATGGACGAAAATGAAAGACTGGATCATGTCCGCCTCGCCAAGAACCATCCTTCATACATCATGGATTCATTAAAGATTCTTTCACGACAAAGCTTAGAGTCGTACTCACTCAATGATTTGCTTTTAACCGGTCCGCAGCTCCGGACTGATATTGCGGAGCTTATAAACCATTTAAGATGCTTTTCTGTAGCCTTAACACGCGATATAAAAATGATGTTTAGGTGTATCCGCATTGCCGAAACTAATCAAGACTTATTACGCTTTTTTTTGGAGAAGTGAATCTTCACAGCCAATCCAGAAGTATAAGTTGGTTACCTTGTCATTTGGGTTGAAATTTTGTCAGAGAGTTACAGTTATTTCCTGAGGAAGGCCATAATTTTCCTAAAGCTCTCCAGTATCATGAACAGATTTATGAAGACAACGTAATCACTGGTGCTCGTAATAGTGATGAGGCTCTGGAACTATATAATTAGTTGATGGCTTTATTTGGAGCAGGTGGGTTTGAACTCAGAAAGTTCTCTAGCAATCCCGAAAAAGTACTTCCTGTTATATCCATGGGTCGTCAAGAAGTTCAGTTGTGCATGGATGGGGATTCCTCGACTGTCAAGGTTTTGGAATCCTAAACTCGATCATTTCAGGTATTCAATACAGGGGAAAAAATAAACTCCACCACTACAAGCCATGAAGGGTCTCGGGTTCAGTACAATTTAGGGAAAGCACTGTTTCTTGGTCAGCGGTTGTGTAGTAGGTGATTTGACACATATCACGCTCAATCGCCAGAATTTTCTCCTTAATTAATTATTTTAATTAAGGGTACCCACGCTGGGTATGCCCCAGGATGGTCTACCTACCCAGGATCGCCCCACGGCCAATGAAACAGGATAAATAATTTTTCTGCCATGAGCGGGTTTTCGAACCTGGGACCTTTGGCATTGGAAGCTCAGAACCCTACCAATGAGCTACCCTACTCCCCACTCAATACAGAAAAGTGAGTCTATTTTTACAAAGCGATGTATTCTATCCTTCATTGCCAACATTTTCGATATAAATGGATATATCAGTCCGGTAATTTCTTTCGTTAAATGCATATTACAACGTTTGTGGCTGCTTAAAGTTTACTGGGATGATGAGCCGCACTAGAGTGTGTCTTCATTTTGGAACTTTTTTCTTTAAGAGTTTCCGACCTTGAGAAATGTTTGCCTGCGTCGTTGTATTGCTCACCAGAACGAATCATCTATGCAACTAATTGCCTTTTCAGATGCTTCCGAGAAGGGTTACGGGTATGTGATCTACCTGAGAATTGGGTACCCAGGAGAAGCTACCAAAATTCATTTGTTATGGGCAAAAAGTAAGTTGGCCCCACTTAAGATTCAATCAATGACTCGCTTGGAATTAAACGCTGCTCTTCTTGCCTCCAGACTACTTGCGTGTATTGGTAAAGTTTAAAGTCATTTGCAAATTGAGAAAGTATATTATTTTTCGAATTCTCGTAACATACTCTACTGGTTACAGACACCACCACATGAACATAAGACTTATGTTGCCAATCACGTAGTACAGATTTTAGAAGTAACAGAACCCAGTTGTTGGCACCATATTCCTACAAAAATGAATCTAGCCGATTGTTTATTGAGAGTCCTCACACCACACCAGATATTTTCTTCATGAGCTCTATTGGAACGGCCAGGCATTTATTTCGTTACCTCCTTCTGACTGGCCTATTTACCATATTGAACCTCCATCCGTTCTGCCTGAAATAAAAACAATATCTGTGTTAGTGACTTAAAAACCTAACGATTTGTTGATTGGCCTGGAAAAATACTCGAGCCTTTTAAAGGGTTTTTGCTTTCATTTTAAAATTTATTAAATGTTGCCGAGATCAGAAGCATGGTGTTATGGCTGCTGGAACTTTGACTGCTGAAGCTCTTAAGGATTATTTGTTAATTTATGTCAGACAATCCGTTCAAAGGAAATTCTTCACTGAATTAATTGATTGTCTTAAAGGTGGCAAACCATTTAAGGATTCCTTAAAAAGGCTTACACCATTTTTGGATAAGGACGGAGCTCTCAGGGCGGGAGGTAGATGAAATATTCCACAATCGATGAAAAAAATAAGCACCCACTGCTTGCAGTGAAACCTGAAATTATTGATTAGCCAAATTCAGCCTCTATTATTCATATTTTTCAATACTTTACTTTAATTCAACTATGTACAATTGAACAACAAGAAAATCTGGCCCTGGATAGCTTAAACCTGATTGTGTGTTGGTAGTTTTAATCCATTTTTTAAAAATTCATTTATATGATATTTACAACTGAATACAAAAAATACATCTAGTAAATTCGCACATGGATATAATGACATGAAACACATGTTGAGAAACTACCCATTGGTAACATTCTAATAATATGTCTATATTAGGAGATCACGTGGCTATCTTCTTTTCAGACGCCTCGGAGGGTTATCAGGAATTGAATAGGAAGCAAGGTTAGAAACAAGAGGGTTGGGATGGTTATGAAGTTTATTATGAAAGGACAAATATCTGGATTGGGCCAAGTCTGATACATAAGGAACATTAAGGTCATTATGGA